CTCATTAGTAATCAAAAAACTATAAGTGAAGCAAGGAGGTTTCACTTTACATCTTTTTGACTATTAAAAAGTTCAAAACTAAGATGATGCCAAATATTGTTAGGGACATAGAAATCACTGTGTATGTGGTGAGAACATGGCTAGTGCAGCCATTCTGGAGAGTTGTCTGACAGTGATTAGTCAAATGAAGTTGTTTTTTATTTGTTTGTTTGTTTGAAGAGATGAGGTCTCACCATGTTGCCCAGGGTGGAGTACAGTGGCTAGTCACAGTTGTGATCATAGTGCACTGCAGCCTCTAACTCTTGGCTTCAAGTAATCCTCCTCACCTCAGCCTCCTGAATACAGGGATTCAGGTGTGTGCCACTGTTCCGGGTTCCAGATGAGGTTTGTGAACACAATAGGATCCATAAATCCTACTGTTATATCTTAAATAAATTCTGTTGTGGAAGAATCTAGGGGTCCACTACCAGGAGAATGAGTAGATAAAATGTAGTGGACATGAACCATGTAATGCTCAACTGCAGTTAGAAGAAGTGGGCTAGATGTATACACACTAACATGATGGATCTTAAAATCATAGTATTGAGAGAAAAAGAGTAAGAAACAAACTGCAGACCAAATACCATTTATATAAATTAAAAATGCACAGTCACAATATAATACACATTTTGCACAAACATTCAAAATGGCACCCTGTAGGGGAGGAGAGGGGAATGAAAATGGGAAATGGAAATAAGGGAAATAAAAAAATTAAAAAGGAGTTTTGCATGGATCAAATATGAACTGATGCTACCACAACTCTTTTCACTTGATATCCTAAATGAATGAATGAATGAATTCATCATCTCTTCTTCCATTCTTTAATATCTGTTGCATTATCCTCCATTCTTTGGGATGGACCAGTTTCAGCTCCTACCAACTAGTATATGGGCATGTCTTTTCTCCCCATATCTTACCAGCTCAGGGCGTTCTTGGACTCTCAGACAAATTTTATTTGAGGCAAAAGTCACATCTCATTGTTTCCACTTGCATTTGTCAATCAAATATTATGCTAATATTTCACTAAATATAGTTTGGCAAAATGTGGTTACCAAACTGTTTTGGTGTTAGAATTTTTTCATTTTACATTTATATCTATTTAAATTTTCCATTGGAATTATTCATTGCTGTTAAACTTAAAAGCCCTCCCTTATATTTGATATGCTACTTTTTTTTTTTGAGTTGGAGTCTCACTCTGTTGCCCAGACTGGAGTGCAGTGGCCGCTCCTGGCCACTGCAGCCTCGACCTGCTGGGCTCCAGTGATCCTTCCACCTCAGCCTTCCAAGATATGCTACTTTATCATACATTTTCATGGCTTGGTTGCTTCTCTCTCTCTCTCTCTCTCTCTCTCTCTCTCTCTCTCTCTCTCTCTCTCTCAAGAGACAATGTCTTGCTATGTTGCTCAGGCTGGTCCCAAACTTCTGATCCTCCTGGCTTGGTCTCCCAAAAGGCATATGCCACTGCACCAGATTCTCCTTTGTGTCTTTAATCAACCTGAATGTTTAGCTAACTAATTGCCACAACACTGTATTAGATAGTCCATAAGTTTATGATAACTTCTTTAGAATATATTAAACAGTTACATAATTAGGATCAACTTCTTTGTTGTCCTAATGTCAATGATCAATAATTTGAATATTATAGTTTTCTGTTATGTTTTCCTTCCAATTCTTGTATTGTTCTTCCTTAAAAAAATTGTAGGGAATATAATTTATTTGTTTCTCTGGATAAATATTAACGTACAACCCAAATGACCTAGATTTCATTTGTTTGTGAGGTCAAAATAAGAATACCACATTCTCACTACTTTATTTATAGAGGCAGGGAGTTGACAAATGTTACATTGTTTTTGCATTGCATATATGCAATTGATCTTTGTGCAAGGGACATAGAGACCTTTATGGTTAGAACAATTATTAAGAGTTATAATCATGTCTCAGTCTTTTGGTTTAGATAAAATCAAGAATTAGACTCTTTTCCATCTCTTGAGAGAAAAAAATTATGAGGAAGGAAAATCCTTAGGATTGGATATTAGTGCAAGAGTTTTCTTAGGGCCTCCCATAATACCATTGTATTTTCTAACTGGTCTTTGCTAGTACATTTGTTTGTTTATCCTAAATGAACTTTCTTTTTAAGTCTTCTCATTCCTTCAGGTATAAAACAAATATCATAATAATACTGCTATTTATTAAATGCCTGCTTTGTGTCAAGCATAGTGCTAGACACTTTAAAATCTATTATCTCATGAATCACTGCAACAGCTTTGTGAAGTATGCATCATAATTTTATTTTTCAGATCAGAAAACCAAGGCTTATGATACCGCTAAAAAGCTACGGTTCCTGCTAATATTTCAACCTAGATGTTTCCAAAGTCAGCATTTTTTCCCATTCATGACACTAATTTCTAGTAGTTATATAACCTGAAAATAATAACAATATGTATTTTTATTATATCACTTGAATTTTTAGGAATGTAATTAACTAATGATGACGGTATCAATAATCATTTGAGTATTCCTGATTTTATTAAGAAAGTTTTATGTTTCATCATTAAATAAGCTGATAGCTATTACTAAGGAAAATGTTATTTTTATTTAATTTCTTAGGCAATATTTAAAAAGTAGTAAAGTGACCATTCATGTACCCAGAACCCGGCTTAAGACATAAAACATTAACAACAGAAGATCTGTTTATGTCTGTCCTTGATCATATCACATGTCCCCTCATTCATCCCCCAGGGGTGATCACTCTAATGAATCTGGGGTTTCAGGATAGCTATTCTTTTTTTCTCCCTATTGATGTATAATTGATTCACAAATAAAAATTATTTACAGATGTTTCTTGACTTATGATGATGTTAAGTGCTGATAAATTCATCATAAGTTGAAGACATCTTAAAATGAAATGCCTTTAATACACTTAATCTACTGAACATCAAAATTTAGGCTAGCCTATCTTAAAAGTGCTCAGACATTTACAGTAGCCTACATTTTGGGCAAAATAATCTGATAACACAGTTCACTGTAGAGTATCAGTTGTTTACTCTTGCGATCGTGTAGTTGACTGGGAGCTTGTACCCAGCATCACAGGAGAGTATCATACTATATAACTAGTCTGGGAAAAGATCAAAACTCAAAATTTGAAGTATGGTTTTTACTGAATGCATACTACTTTTGTACTTTTGTAAAGTCTAAAAATTGTATGTTGAACCATCTTAAGTTAGGACCATCCATATACTTAAGGTGTACAATGTGATGTTTTGATATATGGATACATTGTGAAATGATCACCACAACCAAACTAGTTAACATATCTATCACTTCTCATAAGTACCAGCTTTTTAGTGTGTGGTGAGAATACTTAATAGATTGGTAGATTTTAAAGATAGCCACTCTCTATTATTGTATTAATTATGTTCACAAAAGAAAAACAGATGGTACCCTCAAATTAGGAAAATTCGAGAAGAGGGTATTACAAAAAAGACTTTTTATAAGGTGTGGAAGTAGGTGAACCACTGGGAAGGTACATTAATCGGGAGTTGAGAGCAGTCAAGTTGTCCATCTTTAGGCCCAAAGAAAGGTGGAGAGGGAGCAGTTTCCAGAATCTAGAAAGAGAGTGAGTCATACAAGATTGGCTTCTACCAGAGGAGCAATGACATCTATTGGTGTCCAGAGCACAGCTAGGTCAAAGTGACCTTCCAGAGAGAGAGCTGGAGGATTAAACAGCCCAACTTCACTGAAAGCCTTATGCTGAGGCTTCCCAATGACTGAACTCACCTAGAAGGCAGAGGGAACACTTTAATATGGCCCTGAAAGGTCAACCTCCTAAAGCAGAGAGCAGGATGGACAAGGTAGACAAAGGTAGGGGAGCATGGGTCTGTAGGGACCAATGGAAAATATTTGGTGCCAATATCTTTCTGGTTTTTAAAGTGGATTTTTAAGAATGAATATGTAGTAACACATTTTATTTTTAACTTGCATTGAGGTAATCCTTCACTTAAATTTCCCACCTTAAGGTGCCAAGTCTAGGCAGGAGCAGTGCCTTAGTTGAGAGATGGACTGGGCAGCCCTGAGACAACCTTGGGAGACATGAAACTAAGACTAAGTAGTCAATTTACTCAACAAATATTCAATGAGTCCTATTGTGATTCAGACATTGTTCTTGGCACACTATTGATCCCACAGTGAACAAAACACAATCCTAGCTCTTATGGAGCTCTTCTGGTAGAAGCCAATCTTGCATGACTCATATAGCATATATATAACATGTATAATATGTCTAGTGATGATAAGGGCTGGGAAGAAAAATAAAGAGTGGTAGACACTGGTAGGGGATAGGACCGTTGTGGGCTGGAGAGCACTACTTGAGAACTCCCTCTTTGATAAGGTGACCATCTGAGCCCCCAGTAAAGTCAAGGACTGAGCAAGTATGATAACCAGGGAGAGTTCTCTAGGCAGTTCTTCTAAATGAGTTCTTCTAAACTTTCTTTGTCAGGGGCAGAGAGGGAAAACGTAATTGCATAGCCATGGGATAGGAGCTGGGGAGGTAAGAAGAGAAAAATCTTTACCTTTTCAACCTTTCCCAAATTTTGGTACCTCCAAAAGACTTAGAAAATTGAAGTTTGATATATATACTTTGTTCACTACTGGGACAGATTCTAAAATGCACTATTTTTCATCTTATGAATGATTTTTACTTCAGTGTTTTGCCATAAGCAGTTGTCTGAAAGTGAGTATAATTAATACTCATCTAGAAAATGTAGACAAAACTTTTAAAAATATTCTTTGAAGAAGTTGGTAAAGTGCATACTTTGAGTACAGGAGAAAATGCATGCCTTGGAGTGCTGGGTAGAGATGCTGTTTCAGCAAGGACTGCCTTGGTCTATGACTGCATTTGCTTTCATTAGCAATTAATACAATTGCTGGCATTCATTAGGATTAACTATCCTTGGAAAGTAGCTATGGTTAAAGATAAAAGCACTGAAGAAAGTCACCTAGATATTAAATGGGAAAGTGAGAGCTCCCAACAAGCTCATCTGTACTTTGTTGATGACCTCCCTGCACCATGGTAAGAGCTCTTTAGCCCATGTTTCTCACAGTGATCTCTGTAAAATGAAATTTGGATTTGCTATTCTTTTGCTATAGCAGTGAGGGATTGCTTTTGGCTGCATGTAACAGAAAACCCAAATAATAGTGGCCTAATCATATAGGACAGAAATTCCCAACTCCCAGGCCATGGACTACTACATGGACCAGTAGTAGTCCGTGGCCTGTTAAGAACTGGGCTGCATGGTTGGCTGTGAGTGCTGAATGAGTGAGCAAAGCTTCATCTGTATTTACAGCCGCTCCCTGTCACTACCATTATCACCTAAGCTATACCTTCTGTCTGATCACCAGCAGCATTAGATTCTCATAGGAGCATGAACCCTATTGCGAACTGCGTATGTGAAGGATCTAGGTTGCACACTCCTTATGAGAATCTAATGTCTGATGATTTGAAGTGGAGCTGAGGCAGTGATACTAGCATGGGGGACCATCTGCAAATACAGATTAGCAGTGTGGTTTGACTGTATGAAGACCATAATAAGTCAATTACTTGCAGATTCATCAAAATAATAATTTCATAATAATTATTTCATTATATATTACAGTGTAATAATAAAAATAAAGTGTACAATGTAATGTGCTTGGATCATCCTGAAAACATCCCCTCTCACCCCCCCTCCCACAGTCCATGGAAAAATTGTCTTCCATAAAACTGGTCCCCGATGCCAAAGAGCTCGGGGACTGCTGATATAGGATGTTGTTTTTCTTATATCACAAGAAATTGGAAAGTGGGTTGTCCTGGGAACTATGACTGTTCCATGGCTCATCAAGGAGCCAAGTTTCTTCTGTCTTCCTGCTCCATTGTCCTTACCATGTGGCTCTTTTCTTCAGGGTCTCAAGATGGCTCCTGCTTCTCCAAGCATGGCAACCAACATCTAAACAAGTGGGGGTGGAGAGTCAAAGGGTAAATGGTGCACGTCTCTTGAATTTGTTCCTCTTTGTCGGGAAAATAGCAGTGTTCCTGAAAATCCCACTAGTAGACTTCTGCTTGCATCTTACTGGACAGAGCTATGTGTACTATGTATAAAAGTTATGTCTATGGCCACGCAATTGCAAGGGACCCAGGAAACCATGATCTTTAATAGGTATATTAGTACTCCTAATAAAATCTGAATGGGGAATAGTAAGGAAGAAAGAGAGAATGGATTTCATGCAGGTCACCAATAATGTTTACCGCAGTGCTTGCATTTCTTCATTGATCCCTTATTGCCACACAACAAAATCCAAATCCCATAGCATGGTATCTGTGATGCTTTGAGACCTACTCTGGCCAAACTATCCTGCCTGCCTCAAGCATTATGTTTCTCAGTCATAAATTACCAGTTATTTTGTGGATACCAAGCTTTTCCATGCCTCCATGCCTTTGCACGTTTTATTCCTTTATCCCTTTTGCCTCACATCGTCATATTCTTTTGTCCTCTCCAAATACCTCCTCTTGTCAAATCCAGTTGGAAGATTATTTCCTACTTGGAATTTGCTTTGTCTCTTGCATGCAGACAAGATGCTGTACTCTCCCATAGCACCTTGATCTCAACTCTATTAATCATTCATTTAGTTGTTATAAAGTTGTGTGTGTGTGTTCCTGAACATGACTAAGAGTTCATAACTTTCCTGAGTGTAATATGAATAAGAAAATGAATTGGTGTTCTCTTAAACTGTCGTTTCAACAGATATTGCCTGATCTAAGTGAATGTTGATGTTTGTTATGATTGTCCTTTGATTTTTGGCAGTCTGTGTACCTGAACCATGCATTTGTATTTCAGTGATGCTTTTTAAAAATCATTGACTCAGATTTGTTCTCATTTGCTTTTAGTTGTTGAAATAGATGAAAACAATGGACTTTTACTTCTAGAACTGAATCCTCCTAACCCTTGGGATTCAGACCCCAGATCTCCTAAAGAGTTGGCTTTTGGAGAAGTACAGGTAAGGAAACATTACAATTATAGTGTTTTTAAAAATAAAAATATAATTAAGATGATGTTAATTTAATATAAATTATATGTATACATATATATGTAACTATCCCATATTACCTTGACTATTCCTTAAGGTAGCTAGTTAGGACATATGATAAAGTCATTCTGAACTCTTGAGCAAATTATTTAAGGGACCCCCAGAATCTAGCAAGTATTACAAGGAAATATACCCAGAAAAAAAATATAAAACTTTAGAGGAGGCCCCAAAGAAGAGTCATGCAAAACTATTGACTATTACCCTTGATGCCAGATCACTATTGGGTAGAATAATAAGTTAGATATTTTTCCTATTGCCCTAAGTTCTTTTACAAACCTTCATGTACCTTGTCCCAGCTTTAAAAGAGAGTTTCCTTCAAAGAAAACACTTTAATAGTTTGAGAGAGGCAAAACTTATTTTTCTGTGTACTTAGGAAGCTTATGGGTATTTGAGCAGTTACTTTCTTAAGGAAACATGTGGAAACCCACCCAGAAGAGGCATAATAAAGACTAACATGATTTTTTGACCTCTCTTCACCCACTCTGTTGGCTTTTCACACTGGAATTCTTGTTACCTTATCTCTGCTTCTTGATAAATTCCATTTCTGTGAATGTGCCAGGCTGTGGCAAGGGAATGAGGAATGGATTTGGAATTTCCCAAGGGTGTCTGCCTCTAAGTCATTGTAGCCATTCTCAGATGACCTTGGTGTCCTGGAGTGATTACTTAACAGGTAATTTAGAAGAGAAAACCTTGCAAAGCAGTTTAGCCAGCTATCAGTTCTGTCTGTGTGGCTAGGCTAATCCATTAACTTATGAGACTCATTCATTCACATGCCTACTTAAATGCCACCCTGGCATTTAAATTTCCAAATACTTGTTATAACATCTCTAAATGCTTTTCTTTGTAAACTGTTCTTTGAAGTACTGGTCACAAAAGATATTCTGTAAATAAGTATTTAGGAGCTAATTTAAATAAAGTAAAAGTAGGTAAATTAATTGGTTTGACAACTAGAATTTCTATTCTAATAAAATCATAACGTGTGTTGGGAGTTGTGTTCTGTGACATACTCCTGTTGAGTTGTACTTGAGTCCAAGATTTTGCCTGACCGTGCTTAGGAGCAAAGTTATCCAACCTGACTTGTCAGTTAACCGACCAAAACTTTAAGTTCATTGTTGTGACCAGTAATGATTCAGTGATAGGAGTCTCACTGTCTTCTAACAGGTAACATATCTCACTCATGCCTGCATGGACCTCAAGTTGGGAGACAAGAGAATGGTATTCGACCCTTGGTTAACTGGTCCTGCTTTTGCCCGAGGATGGTGGTTGCTACATGAGCCTCCATCTGATTGGCTGGAGAGGCTATGCCGAGCAGACCTCATCTATATCAGTCACATGCACTCGGACCACCTGAGGTAATGGATCCCTGAGCACTCATCTCATGAGATAATGCTGCAGGAAAGGCATAAAGCATTTTCAGGTTCTTTTGCAATCACTGCTCACTTTGAAGTAAGTTCAGTTGGGATGATGAGAAAAGGATAATAAAGATAAATACATTTGCATAGCAATTTTATAATTTTACAAGTGTTTTCTGACTGGGCACGGTGGCTCACACCTGTAATCCCAGCATTGTGGGAGATCAAGGTGGGAGAATCACTTGAACCCAGGAGTTCAAGACTAGCCTGGGCAATATGGTGAATCTTCATATCTACCAAAAAAAAAAATTAGCCAAGCATGGTGACGTGTGCCTGTAGTCCCAGCTACTTGGGCAGGCTGAGGCAAAAGGATAGCCTAAACCCAGGAGATCAAGGCTGCAGTGAGTTGTGATCATGTGACTGTACTACAACTTGAACAACAGAGTTAGACTGACTAAAAAAAAGTGTTTTCACACCTTACACAATTGGGAGTAAGGAAGAAGCTATTGTGGAAAGGAAGTGGAGATGAGGAGATGAATAACCCTCTCTATCCTCTTACTTCCCACCCTAAGGCAGCACACATTTTCTATAAAAAGCCAGGGTATAAATAATTTAGGCTTTGCAAACCACATGGTCCATGTCATAACTACTTAACTCTGCTGCTGTTGCACAAAAGCAGCCATAGACAGTTCTGAATGAGACTGTTTTAATAAAACCTTAATTATAAATAAGAGCATGTAGATATCACATAATTTTTATGTATTACAAAATATTATTGTCCTTTTGCTTTTCTTTACAACCTAATGGTAAAAACCTTCACTTCGGAAAAAGAAAAACCAAACCAAAACCATCATAGCTTACAAAGTTGTACAAAGACAAGCAGCAGGTCAAATTTAGCCCACATTCTGTGGTTTGCCAACCCCTAATTTAGAGCATCCTAATTCCAAGCTCCTAACTAATTAGACCTGAGACAACCTCATTCAACATTTCATGGAAACCAGAGCAACATGATACTGATGATAAGAACTGAAACTTGCCTAACCCAGGCGCTTAAAAGGGAAGGAGAACTTTCATTTAAGAAGCCACACATATTTGCGAATGAACTGAGTTATAAGAAGAAGGAAGATCATATTCCTAATTCCTTTGCTTAGTCACAAGGTCATGTTTCTTCATCATTGCTTTGAAGTTTTGAACAATTCTGCTGGATTGCCAATATAAACACACTGCAATGAGCACAATGTTTTAATGAAGCTATTTCAACTTTTATTTTCTGTGACCTTGTATGTTAAAGTTCACATGTTAAGCATACTTCAGTGGAAATACCCATAGTTAGCCGGACTTGGTGGTTCAGCCTGTAATTCCAGCACTTTGGGAGGTCGAGGCAAGTGGACTGCCTGAGCCCACAGGTTCAAGACCAGCCCAGGCAACTTGGTGAGATCTCGTCTCTACAATAAATAAAAAAAATTAGCCTGGTATGTTAGTGTGCACCTGTAGTACCAACTCCTTGGAAGGATGAGGCAGAAGGATCGCTGAAGTCCAACAGGTCAACGCTGGGGTGGCGGTGAGTGTGCTACTGCACTCTAGCCTAGATGACAGAGTGAGACTCCAAATTAAAAAAAAAAGAAAGAAAGAAAGAAATACCCATAGTTAGTAATAATATATTGGTCACTGGTTGACTGTCTCCTTTATTTTCTCTTCTAAAGCATATGGGAACTCTAAGACATGAATATGCTCTAATTTATTATTTTTTAAAAGGAAATTGTTTAAAGACTTAACTAATTTAGTAACAAGTTACCTGCAATACACTTGGTAATTGATCAAAACCCACAAGAGTATAGTAATACTGCAATTAAAAATCTACTTTACATGCTAACATTGTTCCACATAACCTCCTAGAACTAAACTTGCATTATTTCAGGATCATGAGAGCCCTGGGTTCAAATGTTGTATAATAACAGTAATGTGTGGTAGCAATTTTGTATAGCTTGTATAAGGGTAACAACATCACATAAATGAGGTGATTGCTTTAGTGTCAGTAATGAGACACAATTACTAATGTCCTAATTAGGGACATTCTATGGAAATACACTAAATTTTAGTGAGGGTAAGAATTTTTAATGCCATTTCGTTGAGTTATTTCCCAACCACTGGTCTGAAAACTAATTTAATCTTAGTTTCGGGGGCTTATGTGAGCAAAGTTTTCATGCAATAAAACACCAGTTTTCAACTATAGTATCACTAAACATTGGTTGGGCAGTGTGTTGCAGATAGTTTATTACTGAAAAGTTGCTGAAGCTTGTAATTTTTACTCCTTTGAGATTATTTCCTTGATACAGCCATACTTTTTGACTTTTGTCTAGTCAACTAATAAACATTGATGTCATTTGCCCCCAATCCCTCTGTCTTACTTTTATTTACCGAATAAAAATCTCCCTGATTCACAAAAACAAGGGAAAAAGCCAGCATACTTTAGTCTTTATTCAAAGAAATGCAATTTTATTGTGTAGAAACAGTATTGTAGTAGATTATATTATTAACAGATGCCAGTAGGAATTGTTAGCAATTTAAAAATCACAAAGCAATAAATATCCTTTTTGAAGTATTTTATCCTAACTTCTAAAGTCCTTTAAGACACACGATTTAGTGGGTGAGCACAGAGACTAAAGATATATTTTAAAAATGCTTTTTTAAAAATATCTTTTGTTTTAAAGGCGAAAACTTACTGCTTTGCCCCCCTAGATTTTACTTATTTGGATGGCTTTTAATACAGTGTTGGAAACTGGATATTTGTACAGCTGATAACTGCTGATATGCAGATTTGTTTACACTTTTCTTATCATTATAATTTTATTTTGCTTGACATTATACTTTATGTACAAGTCTGATTCTTAAACCAGATAGTACATTCATTACATGGAAACTGTCTTCTAATGGAAGAAACACTAGATTTAGAATCAGAAAACTCCAATTTGAATACTAGTTTACTATGTGTTATTTGTATATTTTTGAATATGTTTCCTCATCTATAAAAACACACAAAAAAACTTAGAACTTTTTTGTGAGAATCAAATAATGTAGCATGTGAAGCTGCCCAGCACCAAATTTGCAATATTAATAGGTTCTTAACTATTTGTTTGTTTATTATTAATCTTTTTAACATACCCTACAGTGATATAATAATCCTTTTGTATAATGAATGCTTAATAAATAAAAGTTGACTTGTTGCATGTAGGCATTCAAAAATAATTGGGTGATTGATTGTGTATTATGATAGGATTACTACAAATGTTGAATATAGTTTTCCTCTACACTAAATGTTACTGTCTTGTCTAGCTGGTAACTCTGACCTTCCTTAAGAAAAATAATATGTTCTGCATATCAAAGTGTGGCTATCAGTCTTTGAAGGTTGAAAAACTGACCCCCAAATGGTGATGATGCACAGGTTTTTCTTGTCCTACACTATGTCGCAGTCTTCTCTTTTACTGGGAGCTGCTGCTTGAGGAATGTGAAGCAATGAATGTCATGGAGATCTTTGCCTGCAAGCAATCTCTGAAGCATGACTTTTTCTGCTGTACCTTCTGTTACTACTCCTACCCAAAGCGGCACCAGTGTGGAAATAGAACTTATATACCTGGTTGATGTATACACCATGGTATATGGTATGTTCTAATAATAAAAATGAATTGCCTAGAAATCTCCCTTCACCATTATAGTCACATTTGAGCAGAAACTCATCTCTGGACTCTGGTGAGAGTCTAGTTTTTCAATTCCCTGCTTATCAGTCAGTATATTGATGTAGGAACAAACTTTCATATTAGATGACACTGTATTTTCACCTTTCAACATTTCCATCATTCTGATCATAGTTATCCCACACTGAGGAAGCTTGCTGAGAGAAGACCAGATATTCCCATTTATGTTGGAAACACAGAAAGACCTGTATTTTGGAATCTGCATCAAAGTGGTGTCCAGTTGACTAATATCAATGTAGTGCCATTTGGAATATGGCAGCAGGTCAGAAAACTTCTTTCTTTCTACACTTTCCAGTTATGCCTTTCAGGGTAAATTTTAAGTGAGATAGTCACGTTAATAATAAGGGGGGCAGGGGAAACAGCCAATTAGCCTGTACCTGGTCTTATAGAAACACAACCTTGACTTGAGCTTCAAAAGTTGGACAGACTGTCCTGGGCAAAGATGATCTTCTTTCCACTTACCAATAATATAACTCTATAGAACAGGTAATACATCCAGTTCTGAATAAGTGAATTTCTTCAAATTTAAGATCTAATTATCAGTCTTTCTGGAATATGTGATAACATTCTCAATATTGAACTAAAAGTCAAACTGACATTCACAATTGTTGGTTTTATTGTAAAATTCCAGGTAGACAGAGACCTTCGATTCATGATCTTGATGGATGGTGTTCATCCTGAGATGGACACTTGCATTATTGTGGAGTACAAAGGTACATTTTTTATCGACATCCACAATGAAACATGAAAAATTCTCTTGGTAGGAAGTGTGAAATTTCATTGTATGTTCTTCTTCCATCTTCATTTTCAGAGAATACAGTATATTATATTCTTGTCTTAGAAAAATGATCTTTCTTTTTATTGTTGTTGTTGTTATTTTTTATTCGAATTAAGAAAGGTAGATTTGTTAAAGAGAAGATAACATTGCAAAGGGCACAATTGGCAGGACAGCAGCAAGATTGTCTGCTGTCTGCTACCTGAAAAATGATCGATCTTTCAGATCATCTTTCTAGAGAACAAGTTACCAGTAATGTAGTCTAGGTAGTTACAACTTCAAAGCTTTTGTCAAAAGGCAACAGATATTTTATATTTCATCTATAGTATTTTCTTTAAAACTATTTTAATTGAATAAATGCCTTTTGTTATTTTTACCTTGAAATGTCATCATGTAATATAATCATACATGTCTGCTTTTCATATGAAAAAGATGGCCTTACTGCCTCAATAATCATTTGAATATGAGCTTTGCACGGAATTTGCAAAAGATAGAAGGATTTGTGTGGATTTAGTCACTCTTTCCTGTATCATTTGGGCCAAACATCTGGAGATAGTTGACTGAAGAAAGCAGTCTATCCATGATCCAGAGTGGAATTAAGCTGAATATTTTCATGAGACATCCCAAATCTGCCAAGTCCAATGAGATGAATTTCTTCACTTGAAAATTCAGGATATACTATTGAAGACTTTAGTTTTTGAAATCTGGCTTTTTGTTTTTCCTTGGTCATAAGTAATTTTTCCATAATCAAAATAAGATTCTACAGACTGTACAGGGAGACTTTATTTGTTTGGGAATTCAAGTTGTGGTATTCAGAATTTCACCTTGAATACCCACACCACTTTGTTTCTCCATAGGTCATAAAATACTCAATACAGTGGACTGCACCAGACCCAATGGGGGAAGGCTGCCTTCGAAGGTTGCTCTAATGATGAGTGATTTTGCTGGAGGTGCATCAGGCTTTCCCATGACTTTCAACGGTGGAAAATTTACGGGTAATATTTTTATGTGAAATTTATACTAAACATTGGGCAGAACACTTTGCTAAGTGATGTGAGGAAAAATACAAAGGTAACTGAGACCTGGCTCCTCCCCACAAGAAGTTCTCAATCTTATCAGGAAAGCCAGACTTGTAAACGGTAGATATTGAGCTCAAGATGTGAAGATAAAGTCTGAAAGAAACACTGAGATCAGGGAGCACTGCAGGTGGAGCCAAGAAAAAGAATCATTTTTTCATGGTATAGACTGTAGAGCAGACTTAAATGTTCTTGAATTGTGGTCCCTCATGGAGTGTGCACCTCGGTGTGGACGCATCCCCGTGGTCCTGTATCATACTAGGGCGTGGCACAGCCAGAGGAGGGCCTTCCAGTGTGTGGTCTGAGGTTGGGACTGGGGTTGGCATGGGGGGGTGGGGAGTGTGTATCCTCAACATTAGCTTTGTAAGTGTTCACTATATGTCCAATTAACAGATCAATACATTTGGTAAGTGATTTCTGTCTAACAGTGTGGTAAAAAAAAATGCCCTATTTGCAATATGAAGAAAGTCTCTGCCCAGTTCCTTGTTATATATCTACATTCATTGTCTCCCAGAATGCATAGCTACATGAAAGCTAGAGAGAAGTTTCTGTTCAATAAGTAGTTAAAAGTATGACTGGGAAGGCAAAATATACTTATTAAAAAGTTAGCAAGCATTATCCCATTTTTGTGTGAGTACATGCATGTGTGTTTAGAAGAGTCTGGAGTATACCAAAATGTTAATAGTGGTTATGTTTAGGCTATGAGTAACTTTTATTTTTTTCTATATTCTTATCTGTGTTTGTAAAATTTCCATAGCAACCATACTAGTAACAGCTCGCTGATCCTGTGTCCTATTTGCTCTGAGTCCTACCTAATTCCCCAACTTCCTTTACTGCCTATCTCTTGGATGCTTGCTATATATCAGCCCACACTCTCCTGCTTTGTGCTTCTCAGACCCAAAGTTTCAAGTGCATTCCTGTCCCAGGTCTTTGCATTTGCTGCTTTTACTGCCTAGAGTGCTCTTGACCCTGTTTTCCGTGTGGCTGACAACTTTTTGTCATGTCTCAACTCAAATGCCATCTCTTCATTGATCACTTTGTCTAATGATGCCCCTCCATCTTACCTACCTCACCCCAGACATTCCCTATCCCGTTGCCCTCTTTTATTTTCATCTAGCACATCACTCTTTGCAATTTTATTTATGTACTTGTTCACCATACAGCATTATTTACTAAAATGAATGCTCCAAGAGAATAGGGATCTGATTGTCTTTTGCACCATTTTATTCCCAGTACCCAGAGCCACATCTGGCACATAGTAGATGCACAATAAATTTGGTTGAGTGAATGAATGACCAAATGCATAAGTCTATAGGCATCATGATTCCACTTACAGAGGAGGAAACCGATGTAGAGAAATGAGCTAGCTTGCCCAAGGCTGTGCAACCAGTAAGTAGTAGATCAGGATTTTTTATTCTAAGTCTAGCAGACCCTAACACCCATTCTCATTAATTTTTTTGTTTGTTTTTCAGTTGGGGTCTCTCTCTGTTGCCCAGGTTAGAGTGCAGCAGCACAATATGGCTATTGTACCTTTCACTTTTTGGGCTCAGTCCATCCCTCCGCCTCAGCCTTCTAAGTAGCTGGGACTATTGGCACACACCATCATGCCTGGCTAATCTTTTGGTGTTATTGGAGAGACGAGGTCTTGCCATGTTGCCTAGACTGTTCTTCAACTTCTGGACTCAGGCAATCCTCTCACCTTAGTCTCCCAAAGTGCTGGGATTACAGAAGTGAGCCATTATGCCCTTCCAGGTTAACCATTCTTAATTATGGCCAGGTTATGTTGAACATGACTTATTTTTATAATCTACTAAAATAATAAAGTCATTTTCATGTTAGTAAAGAGTCATTTCTAAAATTGCAGTGCCCTTAAAAATGTTCATGCATGCAAGGTACAATTACACATGCTTCCCTGTGTACTCATCTAGGAGCCAAATGAATTGCCATATATAAGGAGAGAGCTCAGTGTCTTTGGTAGGCCTGGTAACTAGTGACCAACTGAAATTTGCAAATAAAGTCAGGGGAAAATCCTCCACTAATGACAGGAAGCTTTGCTCAATTTCTGCCTTAGTTGTCTATCAGTTGTATCTTCTAAAAGAGCTGCAATCTTTAGGGCTGCATAATAATCCATTGTGTATATGTACCACATTTTAAAAATCCAGTCCAGTTTCAATGGGCAGCACAGTTGGTTCCATGTTTTTGCTATTGTGCATAGTGCTGCAATAAACATGCATGTGTAGGTATCTTTTTTGTGGAATTATTTGAGTTTTTCTGGATATATTCCGAGTAGGGAGATTGCTGGGTCATGTGGAAGGTCAATTTCTAGTTCTTTTAGAAATTGCCACACTGTTTTCCATAGAAGTTGAACTAGTTTGCATTCCCACCAGCAGTGTACAAGTGTTCCCTTTTCTCCACATCCTTGTCAGCATTTGTTGTTTTTTTGTTTTATTAAACATGGCTGGTCTTACTGGGGTTAGGTGGTATCTCAGTGTGGTTTTTTTTTTTTTTTTTTTTTTGAGTTGGAGTCTCACTCTGTCGCCTAGACTGGAGAGCAGTGGCCGCTCCCAGTCACCGCAGCTTCTACCTGCTGGGCTCCAGCGATCCTTCCGCTTCAGCCTTCCGAGCAGCCGGAATTACAGGCATGCGCTACCACGCCCGGCTGATTTTTTGATTTATTGTAGAGATGAGATCCTGCCAAGTTTCCCAGGCGGGTCTCGAACCTGTGGGCTCAGGCAATCCACTCACCTTAGCCTCCCAAAGCGCTGGATTACAGGCTGAGCCACCAAGCCCGGCTTCAGTGTGGTTTTAATTAGCATTTCTCTGATGATTAGTGAGGCTGAGCACTTTTTCATATGTCTATGCATGTCTTTTGCCCACTTTTTAATGGGACTATTTGTTTTGTTCCTTTCAGCACGTTTGAGTTCCTCATAGATCCTGGATGTTAGGCCTTTACATATGGACTTTATAGCAACTGGGATGGATTTAGAGTCTATAATACTGAATGATCTATCACAGAAACAAAGAACTGAGTAATACATGTTCTCACTTATAAGCGGACCCTGAACATTTACCTTAATGCTATAAGAAAAGGATTGGCAGTAGCAGGATACTGCCAGGGATTGGGGGGAGGCACATATCATCAATAAGGGTATCTCAAACCGGGCAAAGTAGGGAACAAAGGGAGGCCCAAACTTTACCTGTACAATAACCCCTTGTATACCTAATCCTAATCCTGATTTGTACTCCACATCTTAAAAAAAAAAAAAAAAAAAAAAGCAACCATCTGCTAGCACATTTGTTTTTTGGTGATTTCTGAATAGAAGAGACTTTAATTGAAATCTTGTCATTTCAGAGGAATGGAAAGCCCAATTCATTAAAACAGAAAGGAAGAAGCTCCTAAACTACAAGTCTCGGCTGGTGAAAGACCTGCAACCCCGGATTTATTGTCCGTTTGCTGGGTATTTTGTGGAATCTCACCCATCAGACAAGTATGGCTAGACATTTTCTACAACATTTTTACACATAAGTTAGTGTATGGCAGAATGAATGACTTTGCTATGAGTGCAATGTGACATGAGAAAGTAATTAGTAGGAGGAGTCTAGAACTTTTAAATAAGCTGTTGGAGAACAGAGAAGATGAATTAAAGTCACATTGGGCAACCTGAGTTAATTCAAATAGATATTCTCTGAAAAGAGTCCAGGAAAGACAAAGGTATGTGCCAGAAAGTGAACTGTGGGCTTTTGTCTCAGTCACCTAAAATAATTTCTCAACAGCACTGTAAGGAAGGTGGTATTACTCTTTTTTCAGATGGAAAATCTGAAACTCAGAGAGGCTAGGGGAGTTGCCCAAAGTCACCCTGTTGGAAACACGAGTTGTGTTTCCAACTCAACTAGTAAATCCTAGTATGCTTAGTTCCATTGCTCCTTTCTATACACCACACTGCATCCCAGAATGAAATTGTGTTGTTATCAGATTGACGTTGTCTTCTCATACTTTGAATATCTGATGTGATTTTTCTTGCAACAATATAATTTCTGCAAATGCTATAAATCATCACCAATTTATGGAACTACTGAAAGAAATAAAAGATAATGAGTTTGTTGATCTTGTGCTCTTTACCAAAGCCCTTGGTTTAAGTCACAGAAGACCTATACTATTAATTCCAATTTAAGATTTTCTTGAAACAAACAAAAATTCTTACCAAAAATTTAGAAATCAAAGCAAAATCTGGCAATGTGGTTTACATTTTTCATTGATGTTATGATGCATATGAAAAAGCTTGATTTAAACCTTAATGCAAAGAAAAGCTTATTTGAGAGTCATACGAGAGTAAGTATTATGTTAGATTCCTAGGGCCGTTGTAATAAAGGAGCACAACCTGGGTAGATGAGAGCAACAATAATGTATTGTCTCCCCGTTCTAGACGCCAGAAGTCTGAAATAAGGTGTAGACTGGGCCACGTTCCTTTAAATTTGCTGGAGAAAGATCTGTTTCAGGCCTTTTTCCTAGTTTCTGATTGCCTCCAATATTCCTTGGCTTGTAGATGGCCACCTTTTCTCTGTGTCTCTTCACATGGTGTTTTCTCTATGTGTATATCTCTGTGTCTAAATTTTCCTTTTTATAAGGACACCAGTCATATTCTGTTAAGGCCCACCTATATGATCTCATTGTCACTTGATTATCTCTATAAAGACCATTTCTCCAAATAAAGTCACATTCTGAGAGACTTGGGGTTAGAACTTCAATGTATCATTTTCAAGGGGAAAACAATTCAACACATAGCAAGTGTTTATGTTAAAATTGAAACTTTTCATAACACAAAATAATAATTATTTTCATAACACAAAATATTATCTTACACATTTTTCTAAACTAAATCAATAATGCAGATTTTATTTTTAATTAACATCATAATTTATTGCAAAATTGCAAGAAAAGTTTGAAGAATATTCATTAATATTGATAATTTACAGTTGTGTTTTGATTTATGTAATACCTCTTTGAACTCATTGTTAATATTAATGAGTTGACACAAGAGTTAGTGAATTTACTAAATTTGGACAGACATGGTTATGAAACTAATATGCTTTTGCTTCAAAGTCAAATCAATTCTTCTAAAATAAGTGAACCAGTTGTGTCAATGTGAATTTGGATATTACATGGGAATATATTTTTGGTATTTGATTCTTTCATTGGAAAACTTTTAAGTATAAAACAACTTGAGCATGTAAATCTACCTTTGAACTATACATTTTGCGAAATCTAAGTATAGATCAAGTATTTCTGGTGAAAATTTAGTATCTGGATTGAAATGTACCCCATGTTTAAAATATACATTTGATTCTAAAGACTTGCTATATAAAAATAAATACACAATATCTCATTAATAATTTTTAAAATTGATTTTATGTTAAGATAATATTTTGATTGGATTGAGTTAAGCAAAATCTATTAGTTTTACCTGTTAAATGTTGCTACTAGAAAATTTAAAATCACATATGTGGCTTGCATTATATTCTATAGGACGAAGTTCAGCTTGAGAGTTAAATAGTTTGAGACACCGCAGACCAATTATAAAAGTAAAATCTCAGCTATATAAAACTTCTAGGAACTTGGGCATTCTGGATAGTGAAAATATGCTAGATAGAAAATTGTTCTGGATAACTATAGTTGTTCTCTCTAGGCATGAAAATTTTACAACTTTGGTAGAATTAGCTTCTCAAAAAGAATATTAGAACTTAATTTATCTTTTCTTGATACTGTAGAATAATTATTCTAAAGTTTTAGAATTAGATGTAACTGCCTAATGTTCTTACGATCCATTGAAGGATGTTGTAGCAGAAAAATAGAATGGTCCACTGAGCTATTTGCCCCTCTGCTAAAATGGTCACAGGCAGTAGTAGTAGTAGTTTTGTTAAAAGGTTGTCTCTGGTCTTTCTTTAATGTAACAAATCTTTACCAGTAGCCTCCACCCTCCTTTCTGATTTGCTGCATCTAGTCACCTAAGTAATGAAAAGTAAACAACTTTTTACTACTTGTTCATGTGCTGTGAGGAAGGCCCTAAGCAACTCTTTTAGTGAAGGATTGCTAGAAGCTTAGTTCATGAATGATAATTATGAACATATGAACTAAATTCATGACTATAAACTTAGTGCATGCATTTTTATCTGTTATAAAATGACCTTTAATTTTATTTTATTTTAGAGTTGTAGGGTACATACAAGATTTAATACAGAGGTAAATTGCATGCAGGTGAGGTTTGGGCTTCTAATGAGCCCTCTCTCCCTGTGCTAGTGGACCTGGTATCCAGTGTGTGACGTGAGCCCCTTATCCCTCCTCCCTCCCTCCGTCCCTCCTTTAGTAGTGTTCAATATCTGTTATTCCCACCTTTCTGCTCATGTAGGACCTTTTATTTTTAGCTAGTCTTTAATAGTATTCTTATAACCAAGTTCCAAATCCTTGAAATGTTATCGTATTTTACAACTAAGCAGCGAGCTCGGTTTTTATATTTTTTAATTTTAAAAAAGTTTTAGATTTACTCTTTTTCCTGAGTAAATTCCTACTTTAAAGTACAGCACTAGGCCAGATACGGTGACACACACCTCTAATCCTAGCACTTTGGAAGGTGGAGGCAGAAGGATCACTTGAATCTGAGTTTAAGATCAGCCTGGGCAACATAGTGATACCTCCACCTCTACAAAAAAAAAAAAAAAAAGTTAGTCAGGTGTGGTGGCACGAATCTGTAGTCCCATCTACTTGGGAGGCTGATGAAGGAGGATTGCTTGAGACCAAAAGTTGGAGGCTGTAGTGAGCTGTGATCATGCCACTGCATTCCAGCCTGGGCAAAGGAATGAGAACTTGATTTAAATAAAGAAAGAAAGAAACATAAATAAAGCACTTATAAAAATATTTTGGAATTTCTGGATAAGACTAGGTATAAAGTGTCCTTATAGAAACCTGCACCAATTGGCCCCAGAAGTATTTGCAAATTTCAGAAAATGCAGAGCAGGAAAATCAAAGCCCCAGATTTTCATCCATAAGATGAGGAAGGGGACCCTTGGAAGCAGAAAATATTGAGGAGTTCAGACAGGAGAAGATTTTAAAAAGTGAGCCCAAGCCGGGCTCGGTGGCTCAGCCTGTAATCCCGCACTTTGGGAGGCTGAGGTGAGTGGATTGCCTGAGCCCGCAGGTTCGAGACCCGTCTGGGCAACTTGGCGAGACCTCATTTCTACAATAAAATAAAAAAATCAGCCAGGCATGGTAGCGCGTGCCTGTAATTCTGGCTACTCGGAAGGCTGAGGTGGAAGGATTGCCGGAGACCAGCAGGTTGAGGCTACAGTGGCTGGGACAGAGTGAGACTCAAACTCAAAAAAAAAAAAAAAGTGAGCCCATACAATTGTGAATTAACTCCTAGGTTCAACCCAAAGTTGCATTGTGTGTGTGGATCTGACCCTAATCTGAATATCACAGTTTTTGAGAATTGAAGTACACGTAGACCACTGTTCAGGTCCTACACTGGTCATAGGTGGCATTCATGTGGAACAGATCTGAAAAAGATTACAAAAGCTTCTGAAACTAAGCTGACATTGGAACCACAGCCCACAACCTAGAAAAGGCACTGTGGCAAGACTCTAACCCGGTTGATTGCCTGCTAGAACAAAAACCTTAACCTTCTTTGTAGGATATAAACAAGAAAAAGTTTTGTAGGATAATATTCAAAGTTTCCAGGATACAACAAAAACTATTCAACATGAGAGAAACCAAAAAAAAAAAAAAATCTTAATATCTCATGAGGGAAAATATTCAAGTTGGAATTATCAGAAAAAAATATTTAAAGTAGTTATTATAATAATGCCTCAGTAAGTAAAAATGACTCTTGAAATAAATGCAAATATAGAAAAATGCAGCAGAAAGATGAAAGATACAAAAACTAACCAGATGATAATTTTAGAACTGAAACATATACAAACCATAACAAAATATTTATTGAATGGGCTCTAATACATAATGGATTGGAAAAGGAAAAAGTAAGTTAACTTGAAAATAGACCAATAAAAACTGTTAAATTGATGAACAGCAAAGAGAAAAAAGATTAAAATAAATAAGAATGGAACTTCAGGAATATGTGGGACAATGTCAAAAGGTCTAATATTCATATCCTTTAAGTCCAAGAAAAAAAGGAAAAAAAATTATAGTAAAGGATTGTGGTGAAGAAATAATGACTAAAATTTTTCCAAATGTGGTAAATAACATAAACTTAGATTCCAAAAGCACAGCAAACCCAAAACAGGATAAATGCAAATAAATAAATAACTACACACCTCAAAATAAAACTGCTAAAAAGTAAACATAAAGAAAATACCTTGAAATCAGCCAGAACCTTATTGCTTTTTAAAATTTCTTTTATGTATTTATTTGCATTGAAAAATAAAATTATATATTAAAAAAAGAAATCAGCCTGATCAAAAGAATGCATTTTATATAGGA